GGGAGAGGGAGCGATCCCGCAACAGTTTTGTGCGCTGAATGCGGCCATTGAAAACTGTGTTGACTTTCAGGCACACGTGTCTCTCGTGATTGAGGCGCACTTGTTCGAGCACCGTGCGCCTCGCGTCCTCGAGAAATAATCGAGGATCGACGTGATTCGAGTTTATAACCGCACCGGTCAGTACGCGATTTTCGAAAGCCGTTTCTATCTCCGTCTACGAAAATCCTTTGCTCGGTTCGCCGTGACCGGCGCCCACTTGCGCGAAACGTTGACGCAGAGCGTTTCTCGCTCCTTCCAATCGCGCCACTCAAACGATAAGAGAGTTCAACGTTCCGGTGTACGTCGGGTTTTTTTCGGCATCTCTCTCGCAGAGACGCGAGACGCTCTTCGCACCGTCGTTCCCACTCGCGATACGCGTCCGACGAGTCGAGGCCCGTGGCGAATTCGATGAGATCGCGATCCTCCTCCGACATCGTCACACACTTCAAACTGGCAATCTAATTGCGCGAAGATTAGCGTTCTCTCGCGCTTCGCGTTTATATAGTGCCCGCGAGAACGGTACGCTCGCGTTATTTCCCCCGTTCGAAGCTCTCGCTCCCGGCCCCCGTTATCTCATCCCCGTTCGCGTTCTCTTTCCCTCGCGCGTTCTCGCTCGCAGTCTCTCTTGCGCCCCCGTCCCCTGTTCGCGTTCTCGCTCACGATCGCGTATCTTTTCTTCGCCAACGATATTTAATCGTTTAGATCTTCGCGATATTAAATTTTAACATTACATTAAGTAAACGATAAACGAAGACAACTTAATTCTAATGACAGGGAATGGGGTGAACGGTAAATGAAAAAGAAAAATCGTTTAAACCTTTTACCATATTATATACATATTTATTTGTCATGCGGCATGAATTTTGTGTCAACAAGAATTCATACAAATAGGTTAGATTACTATGCACTTTATTCCCCTGATGGAGTTGAAAGGTCGTTTTTAGGGACGCCAACCCTTTACAAAATCATTTTACATTTACTCACTTTCTGCCGCCTAAATATATATATTGCTTATAGATAAGTTACAAAATTGATATTAACTCTTGATTGCGCTCTAGAATCCTCGCAGATATTTTTTCTACGATCTTAAAAAATGCAAGTTTGCATTTCAGCCACTAGTCTACAACTACTACTACATCATAGCGCCGTATTCAGTCGACGTCGACGATCTCATCCTCGTTATCACCACTTGTAGAAGCGTCCGAATCATTTGTCTGAATCCTTGGATTAGCTCCAGGAATTTTAATTTCTGCTTATTTATCACAAATTATTTGTGCTTCCATTTCCATTTTATGAATTTCAATTAGTGTTTTATCAAATATACCTTTTTGTAGTTCACCGATGAAATTTATACATCTGTGTCTAATAAACAAAAAAAAAAACATTAATCGCGGCCGTCTGTTTGGGAGTGAAAAAAAAATGATTGTACTTACACATATTGGAATAAGTCCTCTTTGTCTTCCATGTTGTATTGTAATTTAATACATTTGGGCGTAATTTTACGCATGTGTTTGACCACAGCGTACACTTTCGCAGCGCTTTTCTTCATAGATGTTGCAGTAGTAGCTAGATTTTCAACGTCTTTAACTAACATGTCGCAGGCTTCCACTAACAGTTTTAAGTCCTCCATTGCAAAAACGACTTTAACGGTAGCTCATAAATTGAGACTCCTTATATACTTATTAAAGAGATAATTTTTACGGTAAAAGTGTGAAAATAGATTTTATCTTCGAACGTAAGTTCCTGTTTTCCCTATATTATCACATGAAATTTTAATATATAAAGATCGTAAGTTCCTGTTTTTCCTACATTATCACATGAAATTTTAATATATATAAAGATAAAGCATCTAATTTCACATATAAATATATATATATACATAAAGGAAAATCTTTCACCCGCTCCGCGATATCAATTTCCGCTTACATTTTTACAGACTTAGCATGTAAATTAATGTGTTTACAAAATAAACTTCTCATTCGCGTCGCGATATCATTTTCCGAATGACCTCTCACCTACGTTGCGGTATCAAATAGCGAATCTTCAGAATTAATATCTTGTATATATTATTACTTGCGAATATGTACTTCTTAATAACGTTTTTGAAGATCTCAAATAACGTTATCTTACGAAGGGTTAATAAATAAATAAATAAATATATATATATATATATATATATATATATGTGAGCCTATTATAAGGCATGTAAATTAATGTGATTACATAATAAACTTCTCATTCGCGTCGCGATATCAATTTCCGAATGACCTCTCACCCGCGTCGCGATATCAAATACCGAATCTTTAGAATTAATATCTTGTATTTATATTATATGTATTATGAAATATTATTACTTGAAGATATTACGCTGCGTTTAAATAAATATATATAATATATTGCGAATATGTACTTCTTAATAATGTTTTTGTTTAAAGTCTATGTTTCATTGTACCGGGACGATGGTGGATATTATACAAATGCAACTTCATCATTGGCGCTAACGTCAAAGCGAAATCGTCACGTTCGCCTTGTCGACGCTCATTTTTCAGCCTTTCACGAATTAACACCTTTACCGAGACCTCCCACCCGCGTCGCGATCGCTGAAAAAAAAAGGAACGCATCGCTCGTTACGTCGGTCACTCGCGCTTCGATCGGGCGGTGACGCTTATCGCTTCTCGAGGGTCAAGGGGTCAAGGTGGGAAACGTATCGTTATCTCTCGACGATGTCGCTCGCGCGCGTAATTACGTGCGCGATTATTATCGTCGTCGCGGTAAATTGTAAATCGAGTGAAAATGAGATTGCGATCAGTTATCTGCAAAAATATGGGTATCTGGATAACAGCGGTGCACAGCGATTTTCATCGTCCTACAACACCACGCAGGAGTTACATCGAGCCGTCTCACTGTTTCAAGAATTCTATCGACTACCAGGCGACGGCGAATTAAACGAAGAGACGCTGAATCGAATGGGTAAACCGCGATGCGGCGTCGAGGACATTTCGGAGCGCACGTTCGCTCCGCTTTCGGACAAATGGCCGAGGAAACATCTCAAATGGAACTTTCATCTGGCCAACGATATAATCTTGAAAACGACCCGAGCCGCGTTCGATCTGTGGGCAGCAAATTCGTCATTGATGTTTGAGCGCGATTCGCTGAATCCCGATATTTTGATATCGTTTCGTGAGGGGCGTCACGCGATGCTATACTCCCGACGAAACGAACCGTGTTCGTCTGCGTTCAGAGGTCCTAACAAAGATGTTGCTCACGCGTTCTTTCCCACCGGAGACCCCAATTTCGTCTCGGAGGTGCACGTAGACAAAGCGGAGACGTGGCACATACAGCTGACTAAGAATCCCCCGGAGACGTACAATTTACTTCAAACGTTGATGCACGAGATCGGTCACGCTTTAAGGCTTGCTGCACACCTTCCGCGAAGATTTGGTGATGTTCGCGTTCGTGCCTGAGAAGACATTCCCCGTTCAATTTACTCTAGAGGACGTTTTTTCCATTCAACACCTGTACGGCGCTAAAAAAAACGCTAAAGTTCCAAAAGTAATAACGACGACGACACCGACGACTACCACAACGACGACAACGATAGCAACGACGACTACGAAAGACGTCGAGATGGATCTGTGCACCTTGCGAAACGTGGATACCGTATTGATAACGAACGGTCGATTGTACATCTCGCACGAACGATACGTGTGGTCAATCGATATAGACGGGAAAACGTACAAGAAACCCTTGCTATTGACGGACTACATGAAATTTCTTCCTAAGAATTTCACGCGTCTGACGGCCGCGTATCAGAAGCCCTCGGGCAATATCATGCTGTTCGCGGACAATATGAGCTACATGATCACTTATCCGCGTCTAACGCTAGTTTCAACTTGGCCGAGATCTTACACAGATCTCGGAATTCCCGATACCGCCAGGAAGGTCAACGCCGTACTGAACACGAACGAAGGACGAACTTTCGTTATATACGACGATAATGTTGTGGGCGAGATAGACGATTGT